CTTCTTCTCTCCCTCTCTAAAATTGTCTTTTCCCTCCATAACCACCACTCCATCTCTTCTCCTTTCATATCCCACCACCACCACCTTTTCTCCTTCATACCCACGACTACCTCAGGCGATGCAAGCGAACGGTAAGACGTCCAACCACGAACTTCAGCGACCTCCGGCGACCACGTAGCAGTAACAGCCTTCTTCACAACTTCTTTCAAGTTCGCTGCACTACGGTAACCTCCTTCCTAATGGTGTGCTTTAAGTGAGTAAAAAATCTGTTGGAAAAGAACTTTTTTATATTAAAAAACCTTTTTTTAAAAGATCAAAGAAATTTTAAATAAGTTTTGAAAAGAAAATAAGGATTTTGATATTTTAAATTTTGTATTAAAATAAAAAAGGTTTTTCTTTTTCTAATAAAGAATTTTTTTTCTTTTTTTTAAATAAATATAAAGTTAATTATGTTTAAATAAAAGATATTACTTTAAAATCTTGGTTCAAATAGAGTTTTATAAAATAAATCTTGTTTTTAAAAAAAATGGATTCTTTTAAATTTCAATAAAAAGTTTAAAAGTTAGTCTTTTATTTAAATTTTTAACAAGATTATTATTATTATTATTATTTTGTCAACTTTGTTTTATTTTTTAATTAAAAAGAGTCTTCTACTCTAGGATTTTTTTTTTAAAAAAAAAAGAGGAGATAAAAATAGAGTCTTTTCTATAATAAAATCTCATTTTTTTTTATTTTCTTTTAATAGTTTGGTGGTTATGGTTTTGAAAAGAATCTTAACAAAAAATCAGTTTTTAGCAAATAAGTTTTATTAAAATAAATTTTATTTTATTTTTAACTAAAAGTTTTTTTTCGTTTAAATAATCTTGTTAATTTCGAAATAAAAAAAAAGTTATTTATTTTTTGTTTTTATTTAACAAAATTCGGTTTTTTTTATTTTAAAAACATAAATTAAAACATTTGATTTTGTAAAAGAATGCAACGTTTATCTTAGGATGTTGGAATAGTAGTAAGAGGCTTGGTTTTTTAATATACATGACCTAAGTTCGAGTCTTTGCATATCTCATTTTATCATTGTTTTACTAAATAATTATTTTAAATAAAAGATTTCCTTTAGAGTTTTTTTTTTAAATTCAAAAATAAAAATTTGTATTTTAAAAAGAAACGTTGCTAATATCTCCAAATGGTGGCACATTGGTGAGATATTGAGTGTCAACTCTCATGTCGCAAGTTCAAAGTCTTAATGTTAATTCTCGAGGTGTCAAAATTTTTCTAATGACCTTCGTGCCACTCATACCTATTAATGTGACAAAATGTGGTACCGTTTTCGAATGGGTGTCGTAGGGTGCTAACACCTTCCCTACGCTCAGTCGACTCCGGAACCAAACCAAACCGAAACCGAACCGAAATTTAAAAAATGAGAAAAACAAAAATCGCGCCGAACCGCAAACAAGATGCAAACCGAATTGAACCGAACCGAAAACCGACGGTTTGACGGTTCGGTTTTGCGGTTTAGCGGACAAATGAAGAAAGTCGTTCTTGTAGACGCAAGTCTGCAAATCTCGTCGGAGCAGAGAAACCGTAGCTTGGGGCGTCGATCATGACGATGGTGTAGATAGTTAGATCTGTTGACGTTGTCAAAACTGTCGTGTTGTTAGTTTTCTTTATGTGCGTCGGCCATTGAAGGAAGAAGAAGAGATTTGTGGGTCTTGAAAAGAGAAGAGCCTCATAAGCTATTTTGAAGAAGAAAAAAATGATAAAAGAAAGAAATTCGTGGGTTTTAAGAAGTAGATGAGACTCCTTTTTGAAGAGAGAAAAAAGAGAGAAAGAAATGGTGGGATTAATGAGTCTTTGGGAAGAGGGAGATTCATATTTTGATGAAAAAACATAAAAGAAAGAAACGTGTATATGAAGAGACTCACGACTCACGAGAAGAAGAAAAATAAATAAATAAAAGACATTTCTGACATGACACCACATTATTTCTTTTCCTCCACGCTAACCTATCTATCTTTTGCATCCTCTCACATCACCATTAATATATCAAACACTTTACATATAATATAATATAATATATGTATGCTTAAATATATAAAATATTAAAATATATATATTTGAAGGTAGTCGGTTCGGTTCGGTCTGAAGTTCGGTTGTACTTTTTCAAACCGAAACCGAACCGAATAATTCGGTTTGTTTATTTTCTCAGACCTAACCGAACCATGAACCCGATTAAACCGATTTTCCGGTTTGGTTCGGTTCGGTTTCTCGGTTTTTTCGGTTTTGACGGTTTTGACGTGCACCCCTAGTTGCGACAGGTGATATTCCTTGAAGCTCCAAGCCACTCAAGTTATCCCTCGAGGACATCAACATCACCTTTTTAAAATTGGCTATTATTTTGGTTTGACAATTATTTTGGTCAGAAGTATGAAATGGAGAGTATATTAAAATAGAGTAATTATTTGGTGAGACGTATTAAATTGAGTCATTATTTTGGTGATAGGTATTAATTGGGGAGGTATTATTTCAATTATAATAAAGTATTAAACTCAATTTATTATTTTTATTAATATTTTAAATATTGTTGAATGATTTTATTTTTTAAACCCAAATTTGCTTAGATTCCTCAATTATTTTTTGTTTCTTAAACTTTTCCTCTAATCCATTCCTTGCAAATCTAACAAAATTATAATTTTTTTTAAGTCAAATTTGCTTGGATGTATGTTATTTTATTTTTTATTTTTCTTAAACTTTGCCGTAGGTTACTAATACATTATTAGGTTAAAAATCAATTCAATATTTTACTTTTTTAATTCAAAATTTATTTTTTATATTAATAAAATTGAATCTTATTCTTTTATATTAAGAAGGAACACAAAAATTATAGTGTCATTGTGTAGGATCGATATGGCAACACTAAATGGGGTGAATATGATTGCTTACGAATTTGTAGATTTTAAGAAAAAAGTTCAACAATAACAAAAATCAAACGAAATTTAAATGCACAGATTGAAAGAAGTAGAGAAAGATGACACTAGGAAATTTTATAGTGCTTTGGAAAGTCCTACCCCACTCCACAAGACTCCACGCCACATGTCATATTCTCATTTGTTCAATTGTTGAATGCGACATGAGCAAATATATGTATGTTAATGCCACGTGTCAACTAGTTTGTACTTCTAAGGTTTCACTTGTCCAAGCTCACTTGCCACCTAGGTGTTAGAATTTATGCCCTAAAGCCTCATAGTTTGTAAACTTTCAATTATTTATGAATAAAGTAATTATTTTATTTTACTTTGTTATGTGCAAATATTATCAAATTTTGTGAAAATCCAAGGCTATAAATGTAATCTTTAACGGTATATAGTTGACATACAAGAGGATTGTATTCAAGTTATAACCTAAAGAGTTTATAGTATATAGATAAAGTTGGGTGCCCTATCTTAGTAACATTATTGATACGACCCACTTTATAAATGTTACAGATGATTTGATCCAAGTTGTTCATGTAGAGACATGTGAGTAGGGGTATCATATACAATGAGTTTATATAAGAGTACTGGACCACGAAATATTAAATCTTTCTTTGTACATCCATTAAAAGATAAGATAATTATTTCATAAGATGATCGTATGTAACTCAATCTTAATCCTAAGTGATTTATGAACTCCTGCCTGTGAGTGCATGTCCTTTGATTTACATGGGTAAAAATGATTTTTGTAACCGATTCAATAAGCCTACTACTTTTGGGACGTGACCAAAAGGGAGTTGGCAACATAATTTCACAAGATGAAATTCATTCCTTCCCCCATTATAGGGAAAGTAGATGAGTAGTTCCCTTAAGTGCTGATTTCAAGACTTGAATAATGGGACTCACTCTCTCACTGGCCCTAGAGTGACTTAGTTTATGGTTGGATCATAAACAGATTGCTCATTAGAGGATCAGTGGTACTTAAGGTATAAAATGTAATTATAGGGGTAAAATGGACTTTTGATCCAACTGTAATTTCGAACAACTCGTGAAAGATCTACTTGCATGTAGTGATTATATTAATGGACATAATATGTTTTACAGTGCGTAAGAGTACAACTCCAAGTTTATAGTGGAGTAACCTTGACTTAATGAATGAAAGTTAATTAATTAATTATGTATTATTTGAGCTTATAAACTGTAGGTCCATAAAATCTCCTTGTTAGCTCACAATAACATTAATGGATCGATTATGTTGAAAGAAAATTAATTTTGAAATATTCAAGAATTCATATTTAATGTATTTGGATACATTAAATAATAAAGAGAATAATGAATTTATATATATGATACATTTAAAGAAAAAAAATAATATTTTATTAGTATATAAGATATACTAATAAAATAATTATTTTATTCAATCAAATAATATACAATTTTAATATGATCTGTCCTAACGCTTCCACCCATGGAATATTGACATGCAGCTGTTTTAACACATCCAAGAACTTCCTGAATTGAACATCTTGATTCTTTTTCTATAGTCACTTTGGATATGGTGGTGCGGGTCTATACTCAACTGGGGTATTTTTGTGCTCTGTCTGCTTCTGTTTTCCAATCATGTGCAAATGTGATGCTCCTGCATTGGTTGCTCTAGCTTCTACTGGGTTGACCTCTTCGCTTGTGTTGTTTTGTAGTTCCACTATCTACTCACTACTGTTCACTAACTACCTGAGGTTTGGTCCTTTTTTTAACTAGCATGATTATAGGTGTTCCGTCTAACTCGTATTCTTCTGTTCGTAGCCCACTTCCTTCATCTTGATTCGATTCATTATGGATTCCTTGAGCATTTGGATGGGTAGGAGGCAATGCTTTCCTGCTTTTCAATGTAATGGCTTTACATTGCTTCTTGCCATTTGTCTTTGGTATTTCTATATCGCTCGGAAGTGCTCCATATGGTCTATTCTTTATATTTGTGGCTAATTGGCCCATCTGAATTTCTAAATTACACAAAGATGCGACCTGACTCTAATTATGGCATCGTTCTTTGAAATGTATGCCTTCATTAAACTTTCCAAGGATGCGATTGTTCCTTCTGATTGCCTCTTAACTGTTGATTGACCTTGATTTGTGAAACCAGGCAGGTAGTTTCTCTCTGCTGATATGTTGGCGCATTAGATACTCTAGCATTGTTCCCACCCTGATTTCCACCCTAGCTGAAATTTGAGTGATTTCTCCATCCTGGACAATCATTGTAGTGATGCTATTCTTCACAATAGGAGCAAGAAATCCCTTGAATGTGGCTCATATTTGCTTGAGCAATGATGCTCCTACTGTCATTTGCTGATTCATGCTCCTCCTTATTAAGTCCGTCAGAGTCTCAATTTTGGATTTTAGCGTTGAATATGCTTCAGTATCATTCAATCCCTTGGCACACTTCCCTTGAATAGCTCGTAGGTCAGACCACTAGTGATTGTTCGACGATAAATGTTCTAGAATATTAAATGCTTCAGCATATGGTTTGGCTAGCAATGCTCCATTAGCTGAAGCATCAATGACTAAGCTTGTAGCATCATTTAACCCATGATAGTAAGTCTCTATCTGGATGCACCTTGGAATTCCATGATGTGACACTTTTGCAACAGCTTTTTAAATCGCTCCCAGGACTCATTACAGATTCCCCAACAAATTATTGAAAATTATTAATTTCACTTATATATTTTGCATTCTTGCTCAGTGGGAAGTATCTCATCAAAAATTTCTCAACCAGATCATTCCAATTTGTAATTGACTCTGAAGGTAGAGATTCTAACCATGTTCGTGCTTCATCTCTAAGCAAGTAAGGGAATAACTTTAGTCGCAGCACCTCTTTACTACATTCTTCAACCTTGAACGGATCACAAACTCCCATAAAGAATATCATATGTGAGTGCGGGTCCTTAGAGGCATGACCATGAAATTGCCCACTATTTGCAACATCTAAAACATCAATGGCTTCAGCTCAAATCTGGGCGCTTCAATTTCAGGCTCCATGATAACTGGATTAAAATTGTAGAATGCTAGATCCACATATGCTCTGATCTCTCTATCTGTGTCATATGCTAATAGTACAACATTGCGAGGGGGTGCTGCTGCTTCAGGGGCAGCACAACAGAATTCCCATCGACTATCTCCTTTATTATTGCATTCAGACGAATTGATGGATTTGGTGGATTCATTCTTGCAGCAGCTTGATTTCTTCGTTGTTCCCTTCGATTTTGATGAAAAGTTCGCTCTATTTCGTGATCGATTATATACTGTAAGGTTTCAAAATCGTTGATGCACCTACAACCGAATTGATAATGTAAGAAAGAGAAAACTCTTTACAATACCATATTCTTAAACACTATAACTTAAAATAAAACAACTAAGTCCTCGGCAACAGCGCCAACAACTTGTTGCATGCTCACAACTGAGGTGAATACCAGTGTAAGTGTAAACTATATTCATCAATTGTAGTACGAATGAGGTCGAATCTATAGAGACTTAGCGTAATATTTTAAGATTATTCTTAAGAATATCAAATGTGCAAGAAAATAAAACAGTAGTGATTTGTGCTGAAAATTGTAAAAGATATAACAATAACGAAAGCGATAAATGATTCCAAGAAATGAACTCAACCTATGGATGTTGGGGCAAGACAAAGCTCTAGAATAGAGAACAGAAAATGGGATAACAGATATTGGAAAGAAGGAGGAAACTTCTTAGCTCTCACTCAATCCTAGTCTACACTCTAGCATGAAATCGATTGTTATTGCTCAACTCAATGCGGTTCCCTTCTGAGATACCCAAACATGAATACTCACAACTCCCGTTGCTAGATACCTAAGCAATAAAATCATGTTCTAAGCATGCTTAGGGGACCTCATTCCTAAGTATCCACAAACCTACTAAAATAAACAGCAGCTAAATAACAAATAAAGTAGATCAACTAACCATACATTCTTCTGGATCATACAGAAGCTAGCAAACTAAACAAAGTAGCCAACAATGCTCAACAAGATGAAATAAATCAGCACAACTCTATTTAATAGCAAAATGAAACCAGCTAGAGTATCGATTATTCAAGAGTTACAACATGGAAATCTCCCCCAAAATGGGGTTTAGTTCATGGGGAAGAGGAAAAACGAAATGGATAAGTAAGAGATACAACCCATTTTAAGGAAGAAGACAAAGTTGTAGACGAAAAATGCACCAAGATACAAGGACTAGCTGCTTCCTCCGTCTGTCGTCAGCTTTCTTCCCAAAAATGGAGTGATTTCCTCCTTGTCTACACTAGCACGCAAGGAATGTTCTCTCTTGGGATCTTTTCTCCTTGGGGATTAATGATGTGACAACCTCATCTTGTTGATTTTATAGCTCCCTCGACAATTAGGGCAAAACTCAGTAAAACGCACACTGTACGAACGTAAGTAAAAATTCGTGTAAACTTGTTACTGCGTCGACCAGGAATTTCTGCAGAAAGCAATGCTCCAACACGACATGCTCTGGCCTGGCAATGCTCCGACATTTCTCCTCTAATTCTGCTGCTCCTCAACAACTTCTCTAGATTCTGCACAATTAATTCAAAATAAGGAAAAATAAGTAGGATTTGCATCAATTTTTCAACACAAGGAATTAGAACATGGTAATTAACTTGTCCGCTCAATTCCTCACTTCTATAAACAATTTACACACAAAACCTAACAAGTATGAACAGATTTATCCGAATAATTACTACAATAACTCTCTTTTGAAGAGTTATCACTAATCATCCATAATCAGGCTAAAAAAAACAAATTTAGCTCATACTTTTAGAGGAAAAATAAAATGTAAAGATTTTGCGAAAGGAAAACATGATTTAAGATTAAAAGAATTAAGAACAAGTTGTAAATTCGAAGTTTGTAATCCAAATGAACTTTACCCTTTCTCTCTCGAGATTAGGGGAGCAAAAACTCGTTCTGTTTCATAATAATGTGTGATTACAAGACTCTCTTAATGCAGGATTGAAAATAAAAAGAAGAACAATGCTGAAATTTTATAAATAAGATTCAAAATTACAAAAATAAAGTAACAAGCTGGAAATTTGGTTTAAACTAAGCAAACTCTTGAAAAAAAAAACTAAGTTTTAAAGTAACGAACAACGGAAAAACTAAAGAGGAGCGAAATAAGCTAAGAGCAATGCGTGGAAAGCTTGAAAGGCGATCATTTTGTGAAAATGAGTGAGTGGATAACCACCCCTTTAAAACCCCTTTTGACAAATTAGTTATTGAATAGTCTTCATCTCTTGCATGGATGACACGTGGGCGCCTAGGTGTAGTTTTATGCACAAAAACATAATTTCCATCAATTATCATATACAAATGATGTTAAAATTTAGTTTATACATATATAAACCATGGTAAAATAATTTGCACGAATATAACCTCAATTAGGCACAAAAGCAAGCTAAACATGCTAGTTTTAAACAAAACAAAGTGAAACATTATAAATTCAATCTTCTTTTACCCTTGTAAACAAGTGTAATCATTAATCATTAATTTCAATCGATGGAAATAATTTCTTCTGTCTATGACTATTTTTTGCACTTTGATCATGTACTGAATTAATTTTCAACCGCTCTGTGAAATGCCCTAGAAAAATCTATTTAAATTTAACACTGGAGTAAAAGCCTAGGCAGCGCTTGGAGTATAGTTGGTTAGCTCCTCAACATACTCATTTTAAAAGCAATTTCTTAAGTTGGCCGCAAAGAAATTTTGCTAAACTGAAGCCTAATATTGAAATAGTTAGATTAAGTATTTTAGTCGAGAGTTAATATGGGATGTAGCCCAAACATAAGTACTAAAACATGATTCTAAACATAGGTCATCTGACCAATAAAAGTAGATGAGTTGGTAGTAATTTTCTAGGTTTATAATCATGCATAGACATATGACTAGTGGTTGCTTTAAGCTCTGAAACAACCAAAAGCGGTTCGCGATAAAAGTATAACTCAGTTTCCAACAAAAAGCCTAGATAGTACCAGACGCTTTCTTCATCCTTATGTTATTTATTTTCATACTAAGGCAGGAAGTAAAGAAGTTGTCTTTAATTAGAAGCCCTATATTTTTAAAGCAAAATCACAACTTCCACAAGTATTGTACTTGCAATTTGAAACATTTCACGACATCCTTTTTTAATCAAAAGTCCCTGAGGATACAAACTTGGAATATCTTTTCCATGTATTACTTGTGATCATGGGTGCTTGCACGCCCTCTCTTATCCATTGAGGTAGAGAATTCCCAACACACATGCCCACACATCCACACGTGCCCCTGCCTTGTCTGGAAGCCCAGTGTCATGCCCACGCCCTCTCAACGCCACACACACCCCATCAACACCCACATTTCGCCCCATCAACCTTCGAACGTCATGCCCTTGTCGTTGCCCATTGCTTGCTGCCCACTCTTGTCAATTAAGGAATGAGTTTTCCTTATTTGATTGAAGACCTTTTATTTTGTCTTAGCTTATTTGCTTTAGATTTATTCTCGAAATTTTGCTAAGAGAATTATTTTCTTTAATCATTTTAGGCAACCATCTTTTTCGACTTAGGGAAATATTTTGCATTTTTTATTTTCCTTAGATTTAAGGATTTATTTTATTTTACAAATTTATTTTAGGCAACCATATTTTTCGAATTATTTTATTTTATTTTACATTGAATTTCGATTAGAGTGAGAGGTTTCTCTTCACCCTTTTGCCTTTGTGCAAACTCCTTGGTGTTGTTGGGTGTGTTACCCTAAACTTGTAGTTTGTATTTATGTAAAAACAAATTTATATTCATAAAGTTATATTCAATCAATTTGTTGTTTAATTCATAACATTGCATTGCTTAAATCCAATAAACTAAACATCCAAGGTTATTGTAATGTAACCGGGACAGTATATATACTGAATATATATTTGATATACCCTCGATATACAAGTGGATAATGTCCCGGGAATAACCCAAAGGGTCTATAGTGTATAGATAAGGTTGGGTATCTTATCCTGGCAACACTATGGATACGGCCTGCTTTATAAATGTTACAGACGACCCGATCCAGGTCGTTCGTGTGGAGGCATGAGTGAGGGTACCCTATACAATGAGTTTGTATAAGACCGGACCGCAGAATAGCCAATCTTTAGATGTAATGTCGATTACTAACAGATTGTTATTTCATAGGATGACCAAGCAACTCATTCTCAATCCTGAGTGAGTTATGGACTCCTGCCCGTGAGGGCTCGTCCTTTGATCTATATAGGTGAGAGTGGCCCGAGTCGCCGACTCAACATTCCTACCATTTTGGGGATGAGACCAAGTGGGGAGCTGGGAACATAACTTCACAAGATGGAATTCACCCCTCCCCAACCTTAGGGGGGTAGATGAGTGTTCTCTTAAATGCTGACTTCGTGACTTGAACAAGGGGCCCCACCCTCTCATTGGCTCGAGAGGGACTTCCGGTTATTAGTTGGACCATAATCGGGTTGTTCATTAAAGGAGCAATGGTATTTAAGAAGTAAGATGTAACTCAAGGGTAAAACATTAATTTGACCCAGCTTGAGTTACGAGCACTCGTGAAAGATTGACTTGCCATTAATGGTTGTATATTCGTGGACACGAAAATATTTTGTAGTGAGAAGAGTGCAGCTACGAGTGTTTAGTGGAGTGAGCCGTAGTTAACAAATGTTGATTAATTCGGTTAATCGGTTTGACCGATTAATCTCGTATCATTGGAGCTTCTAATCTGTAGGTCCATTAAGTCCCCTTGCTAGCTCACAACGGGTAAAAACAAGGATCAAGAATTATGAAATAATTTGAAAAGTTTAAATTAGATAAGGGAATGTATATATATAGGTATATTGATACATATATTGTGAGAGAAATTATTTGAATGAGATTCAAATAAAATTAATATGAATAAGATTCATATGAAAACTATAGGTTAAAAATAATGTGCATAAGATATACATTATAACTATAGGTTATACGAGAAAATTGCTTTAGAATATAATTCTATTTTTTTAATAAATAATTAAATGTTAATTATTTATTTATTTGATTAATATATATATAATTAATTAATTGTTAATTAGGTTAATAATTACTAAATATGAATTAATTGATAAGATTAATTAATTATATATATTAATTATAAATTATAAATTATAAATTATTAATATAAATATAATTAATATTAACTAATATTAATATTAACAATTGCAGGGGAGTGGGAGGATGGTTATCACGTGGGGAGTTACCCATGTCATGTTTGTTTTATCTGCAGAAGAGTTCTGCAAAAATAAAACTGATAAACTTCCTCCCCTGGATTTCTCTCTTGGAAAAATCCTCTCTCAATTCCCTTTTGGCTTCCAAATCAAAGCTCCCACAAGCAAAGATTTTCGATCCTAGAGGATAGTGGGAAGACCGATGGTGGTGTTCGTTGTTGATTTAATGAGAGAAAAGTTTTTCAAAGGTAAAGGAAAAATTGTCCCCTGTATTTTTCCTCTTTTCCATTCGTCAGTTTTGTTCCTCAAAATTCAAGAACAAGATCGTCGTTTCCGCTGCAGGATTTACGTCCCTTCAAGTGTATTCTTTTGTGTGGTAGAACTTAGGATGCATTGCTGATAAATATTCAAGCTTGATTGGTCACCAAACTTGTGGAGTATTTTGGCATCAAGCCTAGTGAGTAATCTATCTACTCATGGTATTTGACTGTAAAGGTAATCTGTCTAACTTTTCTCTTTCGAGTTAAACAATTTATATGATTGGATTCAAGTGGTTAGAGGCTTGCTTAGTCTATATGATTGGGTTGTTGCATATCAACAAGCCCCTATATTCAGCCATCTGTAACCCTATTTAACGAGGTGGGGTTCAATCTAGTTGGGGACCCTCGAGCTTGTAGTCAACATCTGGCCCCCATAGGAGGCTTCAACGGAAAACTCCCGAGGAAAGGATGAGCGCACAAAATCGAATTAAGATTGAGGATGGACTCGTTCAAAGAAGCAAAATCAAAACTTTGTTCAAAAAGAGTCTCGCCTATTTTGAGACCACAGAAGAAGAAACAAAACCAAGAAGAAGAAAGGAAAGAAGAGTCTAAGGAGACCTAAGCTTGTTGTTGAAGAAAATTAATATATTGATCAACCCCAATAATTGATAACTCTAAGGGATTTATTTCCAATGAGCCTCCTTAATGAAAGATGATAAGAAGTATCTGGAATTATCACCTGTCACTCTGTCAATGTGACAGAAGATGACAGCGCTTTTGCAAGTTCGTCCGAAGTAGAAACGAAGCCGGAAGATTTGCCCGCTTTCAATGCAAATAATTTATTGTTGCTTCCGCAAGCAACCAAAAAATCTCGTATCGAAGAGTTGATAGACTCTAATGTTTCAAATGTCGCAACCTCTCAAGCAAACACATGCACTTCATGTTGCATGTCCATAGATGTTGCAGACAAACAACTAAAGTACTTATAACAAGTTTATTTAAAAAGGGAGCCAGCTAACTAGGTTGAATTCAAGGAGTTGGGTTATGTGGGTTTCGTTCATTTTGGCTACTTAGGTCTCGTTTGGTAACGTTCTCGTTTCCTATTTCTGGTTCCTGTTTCTCATTTTTTGAGAAACAGACTTGTTTCGTAACTATTCTCGTTTCTTGTTTCTAAATTTTAAGCAACATTTGTAAAAATAGGACAAAATATTGGGAACTTTCAAAACTAGTTTCTCTCTATTTCGTTTTTTTTTTTTTTTTTTTTCCCAGCTTTTTCGTGAGAGGGTTGGGTGTTCGCTAGGGTTTTCGATCTCCCTCTTCTTCTCCGGTGTATCTCTGGCTCTCCGATCTTCCTCTTCTTCTTCGATCTTCCTCTCATTCAGATTCAGACTCACGAAGGTATGTTTTCTTTCTCTTCTAATTTCCTTCTCTCACTCCATCCTTCAAAATTAAGGCAAATATCCAGAAATTTCCCTAACCATTTTACGCCACTATTTTCTTCTTCTTCGATCTTCTTCTCATTTAGATTAATGGGCAATGTCTATTTCCGTCTTTGTTATTTAACCATAATTTCTCTCTATTTTTCCATTCTCGCAAAACCCTTCCTCTCTGTTCTCTGTTCTCTTAACATTTTTTCTTTCAAAACAATTGTTTCAAATCAAGTTGGATATTTGTCTTGCTGCAAGTTTAGTTCCTTATACTGCTAATATGTTGCTGTTACTCGGCTAGTATAAATGTTTATGCTTCTTATCGTTCTTGCTAACAGACATATCTTTTGTTGCCCCTAGCTTGAATTCTGTAAAGTGTTAGTTGAACTTGTTATCCCCAAACATTTTTCCTCTCCTAGCTAAATGGATTTTGTCAATGTGACTTCAAAGTTGGTACTGATCTTTAGTTTGCTTCGTTTATTTTATTTGGATAACATGTAGCAGTAGGAGCCTTGTTGTTTTTGAGTTGTAACGTAATTGTAATGTAACCCCTCAACTCAGTTGGTGACCAAGGAAGAACAGCTGTTTGTTTGGAAACATCAGACACTGCTGATCCTTGTTGCAATATGTGCACCAGTTTTCATCAAGGGTTCATGACAGTTAGTTTGATTATTAGATTTTCTGATGATGGGAGCTGTTTCAGTTTGTAGCTTGATTTGAATTTGGACAACCACATTGTGGTATTAGTTGCAGAGGTCGGATAACATTTATTCATTTCCCCGCCAAAATGATTTCATGACAAGGCAAGGCATCCCCATCCGGATTCAGTATCTTACAACCCAGTTCATCATTCATCAGTGTGTTTTTTGTCATAATTATAAAAATAAAAAATAAAAACTTTTACCTTATAAAGTATATACAGAATGCATTCAATGCGCATTTTAGTACAGATAATTGAATCTTCATGGGAAGGTAGAAAATCCTTTACAATATCCATCCAAGTGGTCCATAAGCTGTGGCACTTAACTCTAAAAGCTAATTCGAATAATGGTGGGTGAAGGTGTAAGATAGAAAAGAAAGGGAAAGGGAGATGGTGTAGATGTATAATTGAAAATCAGGAGGTTGAGAGAGTGGTAGTCTAGTCTATCACAGTGAACTATGAAACAACAAGAAAAACACATATACATATATGTAGAAGAAACCTTTTTGAGAAAAAGGTTGAGAATTGGAAGACTAAGATAAAACTTGAAAACTTGAAAGATTGTTATGATGATGATGATCTGGATTCTCATACTCTCTCTAAAAGAAAAAAAGAAAGTACTAGTTTTTAATGTTTTACTTAGATTGAGGATTTTCAATTTTAGTTTTGTGTGTTTGTTTAAATATTTACTAAATAGTTTTATTTTGTTTTAATTCGTATACATCATTTTAGATGTCAATAAAATCATCAGATAAGTGTTGTGTTGATGATGTGGTTGAGATTGATGATGGATTAAAAAGTGAGGGACCATGGTCATACAAGAATGAAGCTCTATTTATTGATTTAATGGATGAAGAAGTTACAAAGGGCAATCGACCAACCACAACATTTATAAAATCAAGTTGGAATTATATGAAAAACCAATTAAATGTTAGTACATGATATGCTTATACTCATGACTAGCTGAAAAATAAGTTCAACAAATTAAGACAGATTTACCAGGACTTCATGAGTGATATAACTGGAAATGGATGGGATCTATTATTGGGCACTATCACTCTTGAAAAGGAGCAATGGAATGATCTTTTTAAGGTCAAAATAAATTAAAGTATTTTTTCGTATGACATTTGAATTGTGGTTTATTCATATATTCATGTACAATTTTGATAGGTGAATAAAAGGGCTAAGAAGTTTAAGAAAAATGGTTACCCACATTATGGAAAGTTTATGAGAATATTTGGAGATACTACAGCTACTGGTGCTAATGCTTCTGCATCAACCAAACTTCTATCAGATTTTGAAGATGAAAATGATGTTGGAAGCAATACAAACTTTGTTGTTGAAGATGATAATGGACAAGAAAAAAGTGGGAAACGAGTATGAAGGAAAATGGAAGATTTGAGTAGTTTCATTTCTTCGTTTGTAGATGCTTATGTGGGGGATTCGACTTGAATTGTATTAGATATTCTACATTTGAATGATAGATATTATTGTTGTTATTAATTTTGCTTGAGACTTGAATTGTATTAGATATTCTAAACTCCGGAAGATGTTTATTTCTTTTTATATCTTTTTATTCGTTAAATCTACTAAATTCTATTTCAACTAAAAATAAGAGCATAAAAAAAAACTAAAAATAAGAACCAGAACAAGAAGGTTATCAAACATAATTCTGTTTCTGTTTCTTTTTTTCAAGAAATAAGAAACAGAAATGATTATCAAACACATTGATGTTTCTAGTTCTAAAAAAATTGAAAACAAGAAACAAGAAATGAGAAACGAGAAACAGGAAACAAGAAATGGGAACGTTACCAAACAAGGTCTTAGGTACCATTTTAGCTAGTTTGAGTTAAAGTAGGTGGGTTATGTTTGTAGCTAGGTTTCATTCATTTTGACCACTTATATGCACCGTTTTAGCTAGTTTGAGTTAAAGGGGTGGGTTGTGGGTAGGTTTCGATCATTTCGGTCACCTTATATACTTTCTAGGTTGGTTTGAGAGTTAAGATAACACTTATAGCTAGTTTGAGTTAAAGGGGTGGGTTGTGGGTAGGTTTCGATCATTTCGGTCACCTTATATACTTTCTAGGTTGGTTTGAGAGTTAAGATAACACTTAGAACGACACTTTTATGCCCCCTTTAGGCATGTTTTTAGAATAGTTTGTATTGCAATAGGAACATTATTGTATGCTTTATATGCATCATTAGTCACTTAGGCACTTAGATACTTTTAGGCAACTTAGACACGTTCTTAGGTGAGTTTCTAGTGCGAAGGAGCGGTTATGTACTTTATATTGAACTTAGCTGCTTTCTACAGGTAGGATTTGAGAGTCGAAATGACACTTCACATTATAGGTTGTTCGATTGTCATTATGGCATTTTGGGCATTTTTAGTACATTTGAAGGAACATTTAGGCAACTTTATAGTTACTTTGGAATGTTACGTATTTTTATTTTTATTTTTGTTCTATTATTAAACATTTTTGTATTATTTATTTTGTTTGATGGAGATAGAAATTGTGCCTTCAAAATTGATTAGATGTATTTTTTATTTGTTATTTATGTTGTCTAAACCAAAAAGTTGTAAAAACAATTTTTTGTTTAATATAAATATTAAATTCTATAATAACGAGATAATATTGTCGACATAAAGAATCTATGTCGACTGAAAACAAATTTTGTCGATATAGGTCTAAATATGGTGACGCTTTTAATTTTGTTGTCATATATCCAGCTCCACAAACTAACGACACCGCCAGCCAAATACTTATACCAATTTTTATTTTGTTGTGACAAAATTGCTGATGAAAAAATTTTATCAGGAAAAGATTTAATAAGTGAATTTTATGCTCACTTATTATTTTTTAACTTTATTAATTTTATCAGGAGCAAGCCCATGTGAAAATTGGGAAGCAATAATTACTTCGAACATTTAGGAAACTTTATAGCTACTTTGGAATGACTTTTACGAATTTTTGTTTTTGTTTTTTTTTTTTTATTCTATTATTAAACATTTCGTATTGTTTGTTTGGTTTTTTAAGTATACTTGAAAAATGACGAAGATTTGATGTAGATTGAGATAGAGGCTTTGTCGCAACGTCATCGTGACGCGGAGCGGCCGACGTCATCCCCTGAAGGATCTCTTTCGAGTTTGGAGTCGTCACCAATCATCTATGAGGTGTGATTGGTCACCTAAAAATAAAGACAAGGTCAGCAAAAACAGATTGTTAGTTCGAGAGTTGACTGATAGGAAATGTGTTAGCACCTTACGACACCCGTTCGAAAACGATACCACATTTTGTCAAAAATTATCCTATTATGTTATTTGATCCAAAAAAAATAACGAAATTTTTTTTATAATTATTTAGGATAAAACGATACATGTAAAGACTTGAACTTGAGTCATATATATTAAATACCTAACATCTTACCACTATACCAACACCTAAGATGTAAACATTGTATTCTTTTACAAAAAGAAAAGTTTTAATTTATTTTTTTAAACTAAAAAAAACATACGAATTTTGTTAAATTAAAACAAAAAAATAAATAACTTTTTTATTTATTTTGAAATTAACGAGATTATTTAAAAGAAAAATTTTTTATTTAAAAATAAAGTCAAATTTACTTTAAACAAAATTTATTTGTTAAAAAAAACTGATTTTTTTTTGTTAAGATTCTTTTCAAAATCATAACCACCATAAACCATTAAAAGAAAATTCAAAAAATGAGATTTTATCATAGAAAGACTCTGCTTTTATCCCTTTTTTTCTAAAATCCTACAGAGGAAGACTCTTTTTAATTAAAAGATAAAACAAAGTTGACCAAAAAAAAGTAAACCTTGTTAAAAATTTTAAATAAAAACTAACTTTTAAACTCTCAATTGAAATTTGAAAGAATCCAAATTTTTTTTAAAACAAGATTTATTTTATAAAACTCATTTGTTTAAGGTATTTTAACCAAGATATTAAATTAAAATCTTTTATTTAAACAAAACTAAATTTATATTTATTTCAAAAAAAAACTTTCTTTATTAGAAAAAAAAACCTTTTTATTTTAAAACAAATTTTAAAATATCAAAATCCTTATTTTCTTTTCAAAAACTTATTTAAAATTTCTTTTATCTTTAAAAAAAATGTTTTTTATTGTAAAAAAGTTCTTTCCAACGTATTTTTTTACTCACTTAAAGCACACCATCGGGAAGGAGGTTACCGTAGTGCAGCAAGCTTGGAAGAAGTTGGAGTTCGTGATTGGAGGTCCTGCCATTCGCTTGTGACGTCGGAGGTCGTGGGTATGAAAGAGAAAATGTGGTGGTGGGATAAGAAAGGAAAAGAGATGGAGTGGTGGTTATGGAGGAAAAAGACGAGTTTTATAGAGGGAGAGAAGAAGAAAAGGTGAGGGTGTGAATTTCTAACTGTCTGCATTGTCCTCCCTCTATGTGTTGTGTGCCCTTTAAATACACAATAAAAATAACAGTAACAATGAGATGGTTAGTGAAGAAGGAAAGGAAGGACAAGATGACCTTTGACGAGTAAAAAATCAAAGAGGAAAAAATTGTTAAAAATCAAACGTTTTATTAAAATAAAATCTTTATTTAATTAGAACAAAATCTTTTTAAAATAAAATTATTTACTTAAAAACAAATCATTTTTATTTATCTATTTTTTATTTTAATAATAAAACAAAATCTAAACAAAACCTTTTTTTATTATTGCTGATATTAGTTTGACTATTGTAAATCAATTGTATTACTGTTATTCATTATTACTTGAGTTAACTTACTAGAGTGGGTAATCAGTTTGTTAACTGCTTTAGTTAAGCACTGTATATATGTACCAGAGAACTCGTTTTAGTAAATACAGGAAATAATCATTCTCTTCCAACTTGACCACTGCTCTGTTATATTTATTTYCTTATTAATAAAATTAAACATTTAAATAAATCTAACATTTTAATTTTAATTTTAGTTAATTTAAACTTTATATTAAAATTAATAATAAACTAAACCTATGTTATTCTTTAATTAAAATAAAACTCAATAAAGTAAAATACAATAATATAAATTAAAGTTAAAAATAAAAATAAGCCGAACCAAATACGGTGTCTACCGCCTCACCGCCTTCACAATTGATTAGATGTATTTTTTATTTTATTTTATTTTTATATGTTGTCTGAACTAAAAAGTTGTAAAAACAATTTTTTGTTTAATATAAATATTCAATTTTATGTTTACTTTAGATGTATTGATGTACCATTGCTTTTAGATTTCAAAGAATGGATAGGTTTTAATCGAAATTTAAATATGTTTTATTTTTTAAAAAACTTTACTTTTCTGGACGAAATAATATCATTGGCATTAAGAATCTATGCCAAGGAAAACATAATAGTCGGCACAGGTTTACATATTGTGATGCTTTTTATTTCATCGCCATATGTGTTAGCTCTGCAAACGAATGATAAAACTATTAGATAGAGACCAATACTAACAAACTTTTTTCCTCCGATTATCTTTCTCCTTAGTCGTCCTATTGCAACAAAATTGCCCACAAAAAAATTTTGTTGAGAGAATGTTCTGCCGACATTTTCTTGTTTTATTATAGCAATGAACGCTTGAATCCGCAAAAGTCAAATTTTTTTGTAGTGCCACCCAGTCATGGGTGGTGTCCCAAAGGCTAAGGCCCATAGGCAAGTCTGACCCAAGGACCAAAACCTACGGTTGATAAGCCTGTCAACCAGCCCATGGTCTACTAAGCTTATGGATCGGACGGTCGACTCAGGGCCATGGCCTGGCTGATCGGCCTAGAGCCACAGAGCCCACTTTAAGCCAATCAGCCCAAGGGCCGACACCCGACAGTCCAGTCGAAAAACCCAAAGGCACCTCAAAGGTCAATGATTCTCTCAATTTAGCTAGTACTAAATTGGTGTGTATTTTTTCTCTTTTGCAAGTTCAATCAAATTCTTTTACTAAAGAAGATTGGTACAAATTAGGTCAGAGACCAAATTCGCAAATCAACCATATACTTTTAATTTAAGTATTTTAGTAAAAAAATGCTTGATAATAAAGCATTGTGATGTTTGATTGTCCATTCTTAAAAGTTTTTTTAAAGTGCTTTTTAGTCAAGTACGTGGAGTAAAAATAATGTACAGATAATTTCAATGTTTTTTACTTTTCAAATATTACATTTTACTGCTATTAAGTATGAAGATTTTGAGCCTACTCAATTCTTTTTTAAAAGATATTAATAAGTTTGAATTTAAATTAAGGGAGCAGTTTTAGTAATTGCTCCCCTTCCAAATATCTCTCAACAGGTGTCTCTCTCTGCTTAAGATTACGTTAACAGAGAATCCAAAGAGAGAAGGATTGAGGGAGACCTGCAAAAAGAAAAAAGAAAACACATATAGTGTTCTCTATGCATCGTTATCAAAGGATTTAGGCCGTAAATATGTGGAAATTCTCCGTTCGTGATTATTCTCTGATCGCTACTTTTGTTTTCCTGGATTCCGATGTTCGCTACAAGAGGTTAGTAGATTATTCCATGAAAAGACCTACAAAGATTGGTGATGTGAGT